GTATGTATGTATGTATGTATGTATGTATGTATGTATGTATGTATGTATGTATGTATGTATGTATGTATGTATGTGTGTGTGTGTGTGTGTGTGTATGTATGTATGTATGTATGTATGTATGTATGTATGTATGTATGTGTGTATGTGTGTATGTATGTGTGTATGTATGTGTGTATGTGTGTGTGTTTGTGTGTGTCTGTATGTGCGTATGTCCGTCCGTCCGTCCGTCCGTCCGTCTCCTATCACACTAGAGCATTCGTCTCCAACGTATCGGAGTGGAGCGAGCGCCACAACGTCATCTAGTGAGCACTCCAAGTGCTAGAAATGACTACGATGGACGAAAAGAGAATATCCTACATCCTAAGGAGCTTCGCCCCTAAAACAAGGTCTATCCATAAGACAGGCTTAGAAGTTTCGAATTTTCGAGTAGTGCCTCCATGATTTCTGGGGAACGGTTCACTTCTCCAGGGTCACAGGTGTTAGATCTGTCGGTATGTGCTTAAGGTTCTCGCTTATGACTGCAAGACCCTCCGGATGGTCCCACAGAACGTATAAGCGTTATCCACGAAGTCACGTACCGTGGGCCATGCAAGAAGGGACCTGTTTTTTGCATTGTATGTAAATCTCCCGGGCTCTCCTTTGTGGTGGCCGGATTTTCTTAAGTGCACTGTATTGCTTGTCATGGCTTGTTCAGACAGGCGCTGTTACAAGCTGCCACTCTAGCGTCGCAAGCGCGAAGTCGGCGACGCTAGAGTGGCAGCTTGTAACAGCTGCATATATATATATATATATAATGTGAAAACGCAACAAAGGGAAAAAATTCAACAAGAAAGATTCCGGCGCGCGGAATCGGACGTGGGACCCTCCGCGTCGTTAATGCGAGGCGTTAATCACAGAGCCGCCGAGGGGTACAACGTTCAAACGGCAAACTATTCATATCTACCACTTACCGCTGTTGACGGGCATATCGGAGGGGGGGGGGGGACTACAAAGTTTTGAGCATTATCAGAAAGATGGCGCAATGAGTGCGTGGCGGCTCTTATCTATCATACGTACTTTGGCCCGAATAGAGAAGAATGGGGTGTACGCTCGATCGCGTGCCCTTATCTTGCACTGGGAAAAAATCGTACGTCTTCGATAGCCTTTAGGTTGCGTCGGAACGATTCTGTTGTAGTTACCGGGCGCACAAAGGTCACTGTAATCGTTGCATAGCATCCGTTTGCAAAAAGAGCGCGCTTTTCAGACACAGCGAAGTAACAACTGAGACGCTTATTCGCGTTTATCTTTTACCTGTGAGTACTGTGAGCACGTGGATCCCACCACTGGCGTAGAGGAAGGAAACTATGAGGAGGAAGCATTGCCTAATCCTATGTCACGAAAGAGAGAAAAGAATAAGGAGAACGAAAGCAAGAGAAAGAACGAGAGAGAGAGAAAGAAAGGAAGGAAGAAAGGAAGAAAGGAAGAAAGAGATAAGAAAGAAATGAAGAAAGAGACAGAATGTAAGGAAAGAAGCGAATGAAATAGAGGAAGACAAAGAAAAAAGAAAGGATGGAAAGAAAAAGAAACAGAGAGAGAGGGGGACAGAAAGTAAAAAAAAAGTGTTAGTACATTATGCACGCTGATGCAATGCTTCACTTGCCTCCGCTTTTCCGGTAGGGCAAGTGTCTGGCTTTTTTTTTTTTTTTTTTGCACCCACCGTGCTGCACGGCTTTCGCCGCAGCGAGTGGTGAGCCGCTTGAACATTCGTGACGTCAGCTCTGATCACGTTGTGCGCGCGTGCTTTATAGGCGGTATATTTATCCGCTATGTGCATGCAGTGGACTCGTCGTGAATACGAGGTTTGGGCTCTGACTTGGAGGCGTGGCTGTTTGGGCTAGTTGGTAGGTCATGAAGATTGTTACAGCGCGACAACAATCGTCGGTTCGTTTCTGAATCCCGACCGCCGTGGGCGTGTGCCGCTTTATATTGACGCGATATATTGGCAGCATTCAAATACAGCGCCATTCACCGTGCCGCACAGAAACCGTGGCAGCACGAGCACCTGGCCAGACTCAGATTGCACGCGTCACGTGCTCGGGGTTCTGGTGAAGGAAAGAAAGAGGTGTTCTGAGTTTTTTTTTTTTTTTTGTGTTCGACGGATTCAGTTTCCTCTCAGTTACCTTAACTTGTGGGCACAGGTTCACCCCTAATAAATAGGTTTGTTTCATTAGCCTGTGTGCTTCAGTATCGCTACAATATGCTACGCAAATGAAATATAACTTAAAATCATGTAATGCGTGGTATTGCGCTTTTTGTGCATTTGAGAGCGTGAATGTTAAGAAACGACGCGACGCTGCCAATGTGCTTTTTTAGATGCGGAGCATCTTATACTCGCGCCTTGTAGTGCGCCGTCCGCACCGCTTCTCGAACATTCGACAGCTGACGCGCGCGCATGCGCATCGCGCCGTCGCCCACTCTTCCACCATCTGTGCATCCCTTCCTCCTCTACACACCGCGCGCGCTTCACTCCTTCACCATCTGTGCACCCTTCCTCCTCTACACACCGCGTTCGACATCTACAATTCTCCTGATTCTCCAGTGGACGCGCATGTGGCGTCGCGCTTCGAGAACATTCAACAGCTGACAGTGCATGCGCCGTCGTGCTGTATATATACTCAAGGTCGGCGCTCGCTCGCTCAGTTGCCGCTCGTCGGTTGGTTTGTACGGCGCGTCGACGTCCAAGGTCGCGGTGAAATGAATTCCAACCAATCCACAAACACAATGATCGACGTCCCTTCGACCAGCGCCGCCCTTTCGCATACGTGTGTACGTGTTCACTCATTTAACACCCCCTCCTACAACCACGTTAACCAATTTAGCCATCGACCCAAGTAAGTCGCAATTTAACACCCCATTTCACAACCACGTTAACCAATTTAGCCATCGACCCACGTAAGTCGCACTTTAACACCCCGTTAACCAATTATATGGTCCGCATCCTCCTCAGTGTTCCCCCGAGGGAAGCTGCGGGCAATTTTTTTTTTTTAGGGAAATGGGAGGCACGCATACTGCTTTTCGCCGCCATCAGGTCGTTACGTCGAGAGAACTGTTTATTGAAAGGCAGATAACTTAGCCGGCGTATAGGAATCGCTTACTTGCTATATACTCTACGTGAGGAAGGTGATTGGATTGGACAACTCCATTTGCATCGCGTAGCGGCACGTTGGGATCACTCAACAGCTCCGTAATTCACGATCACTTCTAGTCGTGGACGTCTGTTGACGAAACGCGTGAAGGGGAAAGTACATATATACAAATAATTGAGATACTCGAAGGATTTTTTCGGGGAGCCTCACAGCGTGTGCACTTAGGGAAAGGAAACTTATGGTAACGAGATTCTGAACCATTACGCTTGCTTTCTGAATGCACAGCTTATCGGATGCTTACAAATAGCATTGCGAAGTGGCCTACGCCCAAACGTATCGTCAGCAGCAGACGAGAATTGGTACATTCAACATGGCGTGCCCGATCGTAAAAAAAAAAACAATAAACAGTGTCCTTTAGGTAGTTTGTACCGTTTCGATTTTTGCACACACCCAATGTCAAGTTTTGGTCCCTGTATAGTAGATATTGCCATTAACAGAACTGGAAGGGCACGCAAAGTACAGCTTTGGTTCTGCTAAAGCTGATCCCCGAAATGATTGATTGATTTATTGGCAGGTGGGCTGGCTGTAAAGCAGGCAGGCACCTCGTGGTCTTGAATACTTCATCCACACAATCGACTAGTTCAAGAAAGTGACTTTGTTCGCTTTGAGGAAAATGTGTCACCAGCAAGCTCGCATAGCTACCCACGACTTGTGAAGCTAATAACGGTACTGCACATTGATTAGGTTGCTCACGTGCATTTGAGGGGTTCTGCGTGGCAAATGTCCAGCAAGTATACTTTCTGGTAAGGCCACTTTCAGCCCCTGCTCGAACGTTGTGTAGCGAAGGTGTATTCCTCAAGCTAATCCTCATCCCAAAGAGGGGAATGAGATATTGCATGGCAATAAGTTTTTCAGTTGATGCTGAGCGATGCTTTCATGAGCTCCGCTCGGTAAATTCGAGTTAAAGCTTTCAACGCAGTACGTTTAGTGAACGCCATGGTTGACCATGATATACTAGTGCGAAACGGTCACCCTTAATCGCGATCATGGCCGATCCGGATTAGGCTCGGTCGCTATCAGGTGCTGCCACACGGTGACTTATAATCGCGATCATTCCCGATCGATATCAAAATTACGGCTACCTGTGCATCGAGATCTGGCTCCCAGATGGCGATTCGACTGATGTCTGCGCCAAACTCGATCCAAATCTGTTTGTACCGAGTAGCACTGATGATTGTTGATCGCGATCAAGAAATCTGATTCGGGTCCGCCCTGATCGTGATCAAAAGTGGTCATGAGACATGAATATTAGGTATGCCTCGCTCTTCAAGTTTCCTGCATCGTGGCTCGCGGGCGTGCGTTGTTGCTCTTGTGGATCGATGCCTATCGCGTGAATAGTCAGTGCTACCTCATCCATCAACAGGTCTTTCTGTTACCTGTATTAAGGCGAAATCATTTAATGCTTCACACTCCTGGTGTCAGACCATCCATCCATCCGTCCGTCCGTGCTCTGGAAAGGTACCAGCTGTGGCCTCCACCCCTAACTCTCTCTCAGCTATCACGTGACGGCACATATCCGTTGCGCCACCACAGCTGTGGATTCTGCCCCTTCGCATAGTCAGTCGAATGGCCACAGCCTATCGCTGAAGAAATTTACAGAATTGTCGTTCAACCATTATAAGAAATGACATGTTATTTAATAGCGTCCTGGGATGAGCGAGCTTAATGTTATTCCCATATAACTCGACATGCTTGTCTCGTTCTCTGTACATGAATTTCGTAATGAACAACACCAATGTCATATTACTGTACCATGAAGTCTGCTTATTATATGTGTGTAACTTAGCCAAGCGCCTTCTTTCTTTCTACTGTTTGCAGGTGGTGATGTGACCGCGGATGCAAACGCCAGGAACTGTACGCAGATGAAATGGTAAGCTGTATCAACATTATTTCTTGATTGATATGTGGGGTTTAACGTCCCAAAACCACCATGTGATTATGAGAGACGCCGTAGTGGAGGGCTACGGAAATTTCTACCACCTATAGGGTTCTTTAACGTGCACCCAAATCTTAGAATACGGGCCTACAACATTTCCGCCTTCATCAGAAATGCAGCCGCTGCAGCCGGCATTCGATCCCATGACCTGCGGGTCAGCAGCCGAGTGCCTTGCCCACTAGACCACCACGGCGGGGAAGCTAAATTTGTAGGGGATTGGTAACTATAGAAATAGGAGAATTATATGCAGCTCTGTTGAAGCACATGACATTGACTGTTTGTAGCCATAAGAACGGTTCTCGACCTCCCCGTCGTCATCATCATCATCATCATCATCATCATCATCATCATCATCATCATTATCATTATCATTATCATTATCATTATTATTATTATTATTATTATTATTATTATTATATTATTATTATATTATTATTATTATTATTATTATTATTATTATTATTATTATTATTATTATTATTATTATTATTATACGGTAAACGCTAGTTAGTTTGGTCGTTTTTCGCCGCAACCCGATCAATTCGGATGATACTCGGAGTGCGCCAAGCACAACGCACCGCGAATGTGTGATCAACGGACTCAAAGTGGCGTCGCGAACGACGGAAACGGGTGCGGGCCCTCAAAGACGCGCGCGCTTGCCGTCCACAATCTTACCACAATTGCGCTCGTTGATGGCCAAGGCTTCAACGGCTACGAAAAGACTTTTTTTTTTGCGATTTAACTTGTGCGAGCCGCCTAAAATAAGCTGTGCCTCGATGGTTGTTCAGACAGGCGCTGTTACAAGCTGCACTCTAGCGTCGCAAGACGCGAAGTCGCAGACCGCCTAGAAGTGGCAGCTTGTAACAGCTGCATATATATATATATATATACTGTGGAAAACGCAACAAGGGAAAAAATTCAACAAGAAAGATTCCGGCGCGCGGAATCGGACGTGGACCCTCCCGCGTCGTATATGCGAGGCGTCTTAATCACAGAGCCGCCGAGGGGTACAACGTTCAAACGGCAAACTATTCATATCTACCACTTACCGCTGTTGAAGGGCATATCGGAGGGGGGGGGGGACTACAAAGTTTTGAGCATTATCAGAAAGATGGCGCAATGAGTGCGTGGCGGCTCTTATCTATCATACGTACTTTGGCCCGAATAGAGAAGAATGGGGTGTACGCTCGATCGCGTGCCCTTATCTTGCACTGGGAAAAAATCGTACGTCTTCGATAGCCTTTAGGTTGCGTCGGAACGATTCTGTTGTAGTTACCGGGCGCACAAAGGTCACTGTAATCGTTGCATAGCATCCGTTTGCAAAAAGAGCGCGCTTTTCAGACACAGCGAAGTAACAACTGAGACGCTTATTCGCGTTTATCTTTTACCTGTGAGTACGCTTCGTGCGTCATTTGTGCGTAAGAAACGTGGGGCACGTTTCGATCTGTTTGCCATTCTGCGCGTGACCTTCCCATTTCTTGCTATCGCCTTCATAGCTTCACCTTTGCGGCACATCGGTCTCTTTTTTTAGCATATTATGTTGGTTAACAGTTGCGCACATAGGGGATTAGAATATCAGCTGCGACGTTATAACGGACTATCCCAATGCGTAGCTGAATGTGTTTTTACTCATTTCCTCATGCATGAATGCATATATCAAATCACCCGTCCTGATGGTCCAATGGTAACGGAGATCGACAGCTGACCCGAAGGGTGTGGGTTCGTATCCCGGCCGCGGCGGCCGCATTTTGGATGGAAGCGAAAATGCTTGAAGGCCCGTGTACTTAGATTTAGGTGCACGTTAAGGAACCCCAGCTGGTCGAAATTTCCGGTGCCCACCACAATAGCGTGCCTAATAATCATATGGCGGCTTTCGGATAAGCACTTGCAATCATTACATAAATGCGTATACACATTACAACAACAAACAACGCACTAAGTGTACAAAATAATTTATACAAGAAAGAATACAAACAAAACCTTACCAAGACAAGTGGCTTTTGTGTTAACGTTTCGTCTGAAAGTCCACTAAGGCCACTATACTATAACGCCTGAAACGCGTCGTTGTCATTTTTTTAAGTGACCTCCTCATCTAACGGTTAGACGTGAAAGTTCAGGTGCAACTTAACAGACAGTTTGATTCCTAATTACTGTAGACAGCGCTAAACGTTGCAAAGTACAGATACAAACGGGAGAAGTCCTGGCATCTTGGCCTCATTGTGCATGTCCTCTTCGTATCTGTTCTTATTACAGTGATGGCTCTGCGTGTATTAGTTCAGCAGTATTGAACTCTTGTTCTATGTCGAGCCCTTAAGGTTCAAAGTAAAGTTGAATTACGAATTCTTACACGTACATTTATACCCCACATCTACCGGAAAGCAAAAGAGACGTGCGCGCTTTGATAACAGCGCTTGGCTGGGAGTGCTCCATCGATTTCGAAGTCTCTTACAGAAAAGGAAAAGTGGTATTTGTCTCCGTTTTATTGCCCGCCGGCAGAAGAGATCGCCCTTCTATCAAGAAGGCACCGGTTTATCTTTGACACTCAAAGCGCACGCAATCACTCACCGAAAGGAGTGGCCTTTTCATGTTTTACTTTTAAGACACTTGAGTCTGTTTGACAGAGCGAGTTTTATAGTGCAGAAAGAGAAGTGCATGTCATGCGATGTGTTCGTGTGATTCGCGATTTCTTAGTTATGTGTTCTTTTTTGCGTGCGATCGTGACCTGGAATGCTGGTTTTTCTAAGCCGGCGTGTTTATGCCGGCTGGCAGCTGATCGGCCTTTGAAGTTACGAGCTAAGACAAAATGGTAAGGACACACACACATACACACGCACGCGCACACGCACACGCACACACGCACGCGCACACGCACACGCACACGCGCACACGCACAGTAAGAGAGAGACTGACAGAGAGGAGGGGGCACTATACGAGAAAAGAAAAAGAGCTCGAGCACTTAGTTGAACTGCATAGCGAGTGACTAATGTGTTCATCAGCTGTTGACGAGCCGACGCATTCGTAGCCCGCATACAGTGTAATGAAAATTGTTGGTTCGGAATGCCAACATTAGCTAATGTCGGTGAGATATGGCCGATGTTGATAGTGTTAGCTCATAGTTAATGCTGAATAATGGCTGTTACATGAGCAACATTTCCTGATTTTAATTTCTTTCCTTTGACTGAGATGATTAGATCTTTAATTATTAGTGATGGGCGTCTTTTGGTTGGATTATTTTGAAGGTATTCAACTATCAGTATACCTCTGGTTTACTATTGATAGCTTTGCACCAGCAGTGAATAGTTATCATGGATGTCGACACGATTTCGTGAATAATTCCAATGAAGTGAAGTCGCGCGGAATGGTCTTTCTAAACGTCGAGCTGCAAATAATAAAGGACTAATGCGCTTCCGTACTACAAATATTTCTCGTGTCTTTGTGCGTGTGCTGTAAATAAACAATTTCCCGCCTTTTTTTTTTCATCTTTCAATTCGTCGCAGTAGCCAGGAAACCTGTCGAGTTAATATCCCCATTCTTTCGTTTTCATGTGGTGTTGGTCTGTTAAAATAAATTAGCAAAGATAAAAAATGGGGTGCTTCCGTGAATACGGTAGTTTATAAAACATCAAAAGCCACGGATGAAAATTTAGTCGTGCGAATTCGATAGTTTTTCGGACCTAAACTTCCTTGGTAGTACATGAAACACCATACAAAGAAATAAAACTTGGGGTCAGCGCTTCGTCCGTCAGTTTCACTGTCCCGTGTTTCGCGCTGCGGCGGCTCTATTCGATTTCCTTTAGTTACACTATTTTGAATGTGGATGTGAACCGTCGTGAACATGCAACTAAACTGAAAACTGCCGGGATATGTCGTCATGAAATAATGACGAAAAATACATTGAATCCAGAGAAAGCGAAGAGATGTGGGATATATATATATATATATATATATATATATATATATATATATATATATATATATTGTTGCGAATGTATTTACTACTTTAGAGTAGAAAAGTACTCCAGCAGTCAAGATGGCAGCCGTTGTGTATTTTCGAACAGCCCAAAAACGTCGTCGTCTTCTTCTTCGCACCGCCCGCATAGCTGCATAGCCGCGAACCCGCAACATCGACCTCCGGCGGCGAAAAGCGCCGACCCGGCGCTTGTTAGCAGGTGTTGGACGAGATGTACGGCTTGAGGCGAGCGACGTGGACGATGTCGGAAGGGTTGGGTACAAGCGTGTCGAACGGCAATGTCGGGTCTCTTCCATACAAAAGGTAAAAGGGAGAATATCCAGCAGTGTCGTGGCGTGAGCTATTGTAAGCGAAAGTGACAAAGGGTAGCGCAATGTCCCAGTCACGATGATCCGTCGACACGTACATGGCGAGCATGTCAGTGAGTGTGCGATTCAGACGTTCTGTGAGGCCGTTTGTTTGAGGATGGTAGGCCGTCGTAAGCTTGTGCTTGGTTGCACAAGAACGAAGTAGATCGTCAATTACCTTAGATAAAAAGTAGCGACCGCGATCGGTGACCAGTTGACGAGGAGCACCATGATGTAAGATGACGTCTTGAATCAAAAAGTCGGCGACATCTGTAGCGCAGCTGCTTGGAAGAGGTCTCGTAATTGCGAAACGGGTCGAGTAATCTATGGCGACGGCGACCCACCTGTTACCGTCGGTAGAAAGAGGGAAAGGGCCCAGCAGGTCGAGGCCGACACGATAGAAAGGCTCGGCAGGTACGTCGATCGGTTGAAGGAGCCCGGCGGGGTGTACCGCTGGCTTTTTGCGGCGTTGGCACGACTCACAAGACCTAACATAACGTTGTACAGAACGGTAGAGGCCGGGCCAGAAAAAGCGTCGGCGGACACGGTCGTACGTTCTGGCAACACCAAGGTGGCCAGCCGTTGGTACATCATGTAGTTGCTGAAGTACGGTCGAGT